TGGCTTCAATCTCATTTCCACCCCTTGTCAGGACTTTGCCCCCAAATGCCTGTTTTGTGGACTTTACAAAAGTCCCAAAATAAACTAGGATTTCCAGTTTTCTCCCCTTGACTTCTCCCCCCTCCCCTGCCCCGTATGAGGTAAATATCAAAATGCATGCGGAAATAAGCCTTGGCAGAAAGCGGGGGGAGATGCCCGTCACCTGGCACCTGATTGTAGTTGTACAGAGGATTAAGGAGAACAAACACAGCTGGTCGGTCCTTCAGTTTTGGCCCTCAACTCAACCCAGGAATGTCTGACAGGAGTGAACAGGCAGGCAGGGCTGAGAAACATGCTTCCCGGTTCAAGAAAACCTGATGTTGGAGAAATTCTCGTCCTCAGCAGAGTTTGGGTACCAAAGATGTACCTTTGTTCTATGCTGTTGTTAGATTTATATCTCACGCTTCCTATGAGGAGCTCAAGTAGTATACATAGCTCCACCTCATTTTATCCTCGCAACAACCCTGTGAGGTAAACCGAGGCAATGACTGGCCCAAGGTCACCCACCGATGGGGATTTGAACCCTGGTCTCTCAGTTCAACATGCCAGGGCCTGTGCTGAGCACAGAGGGTCCATTTTCACATTTAGGCTTCAGGAGGCAGTGTAAGGACTGGAAACTCTGGGCCAGCTTATACAACCAGCAGGGAAGTGGTAAACTTTTCCTCAGTCTATACCACTACAGGCTGCACAAGGAGGGTGGCTTTTTTCTTTTTTGTGGTTTTGTTTTGTTTGTTTGTTTTGTTTTGTTTTGTTTAATGCACAGAAAAATTCCCTTGCATGTAGAAAAACAGCACAACAGGGCAAAGGCTAGGCCAGTGGTTCTCGAGGACTCCTTAATGTGTGTTTTTCTGCCACTTGTCGCTATTGTAAAGTGCTATCCTAGATGCTGCCTCATTTTTAATTCTGTTTTTACAGACCACCTGCATGAACATCCAGGTTCACGGATGGTCTGTGGACCGCAGTTTGGGATTCATTCTCTCAGGCATGCTAATTTTCTATAAATTTCAAAAGGGGAGCATTGCAAGGGAGACGACATCTCCTACATGCAGTCTGTGCAGACTTTAACATGCTGTGCACTGCAAGCCAATGCATCACCTAAGCAGGCATGTCAACTTGTCACTTGCCAGAGTTATGAGAGAATGACTTATTCCCCACCACCACCACCAAAACCACACACACCCAACGTCTACTGAGTTTTGTCCATATACGCCACTCACCCGACCAGGAACCATAACAGTTTTCCACATCAAGTGATGGGAAGTATAGCAGTGCTAGAGATACTATGCTTCTCACGATCTGAACACCATGCTTCTATTAATTCGCGCCAAGATTCCTGCATTTATACCTGCATCTAGTCCAACCCCCAGCAATGCAACGAAAGCAGCCATGACAGATGGCCATCCAACCTCTGCTTAAAAACTCCAAGGGTCCACCACCTCCTGAGGGGGTCCTTTCCACTGTTAAGCAGCTCTTGCTCTCAGAAAGTTCTTCCTTTTAGTTGGAATATCCTTTCATGTAACTTGAAGCCATTGGTTTGAGTCCTACCCTCCAGAGCAGGAGAAAGCAAGCTTGCTCCATCTTCTTCTTTTTTAAAAATATTTTTATTGAGCAATTTCAACATAACAAATTATCAAACCGTATAATCACATACATTATTTCCCCCCTTTTTCCCCACCCACCCCTTCCATCACTCCCTTCCTCCCGCACAAGGGACTTCACTCAGTTCCTCTCTGTGATTTCTCTGTACATATTATTCTCTGCATGTTATAGAATTATACATGTCCTTGCGTTGTCTATCTGTCATGTTGCCAACCAATAAATTTGTGTGTGTTTATTCAAAACCTGCCAAGGAGTCCAGTTCATTTTGTTGTCTTTTTAGATAATTTGGGGAAAGTTCCCATTCTTCCTTAAAGTCACAGTTGACCTTGTCCCACAGTTTGTATGTCAATTTAGCCAGTTCTGCATAGCTCATCAATTTTTCTTGCCACTGTTCTTTCGTTGGGATTTCCTCCATCCTTGTGCTATCAAGACTCTTGCCGCTGTTGTAGCATACATAAATAGATTCTTTGTTTTTCTTGGCAGGTCTTGTCCTACAATCCCTAACAAAAATGCTTCTGGTTTTTTTACAGATGTAATTTTTAAACATTTTTTTCAATTCATTGTATATCATTTCCCAAAAATTTTTAACTTCTCTACATTCCCACCACATATGATAAAAAGTCCCTTCTTTTTCTTTACATTTCCAACATATGTTTGACCCGGTTTTATACATTTTTGCTATCTGTACTGGTGTAATATACCATCTATACATCATTTCCGTATAATTTTCTTTCAAAAGAGAACAGTCTGTAAATTTCAATTTTACTTTCCACAATTTTTCCCAGTCCTCAAATTGTCCTATATCTTGTGCCCATTTGATCATGACCGATAAGCTTGCTCCATTTTCTATCTGACAGGCCCAAGGTCACCCGTTGAAGTGGGAATTTGAACCCTGGTCTGCCTGGTCCTAGTCCTATGCTATTCCCCTACTGCACATTAGTTGACTCTGTGAAATAACATGTACATTGATGGACAGCAGAAGCAGCTTCCTATATGTGCAACAGAAGTAACATGCACATTGCTTGGGGATGACGGGAGTAGTCACCCCAACATCTGGAGGGGCACCAGGTGAGCAACTAATCGATAAGTTGGCTAAATGTTGCGTGCAGCTCCCATTGGAGCTAAGGCAGAAAGGTGGATAGCACGGCTATCGCAGCAAGAGCTCAAGCTGCCCTCCAACATTTTGCCCTCAGAGAAATGCTGAAGGCCCTTTCTGCCCACAGCAGAGATCAACGAATACTCGGAGTGAAGCCTGTGCAATTTTTTCCCCCTCCCTCCCCACCTCGCGACACATTGGGCACGTGGAAATTAATTTCACTGTGGTTTGTTTCTAACGTCCATCTCATTGTACAGAGCAAAATCAAAAGACTTTTTAAATGTGGGTTAGAGGTGGTTTTAATTAAATCCCCAGTAGCTCAAGCTGCAGGGATGTATTAATCTCCCCCCTACGCACACACTCTCAAAAGTAAACAACACGAAGGCCATATTTGTTAATGGAAACGTCCCTGTTATGTACTGAGTTGAATTGGATCCAAAATACAGCAGTCTGATTGGTCTAGAACAATAGGATTCAGAATGCAGCAGTCTGATTGGTCCTAGAACAATAGAATTCAGAATGCAGCAGTCTGATTGGTCCTAGAACAATAGGATCCAGAATGCAGCAGTCTGATTAGTCCACAGGAGCCACCCAATCCAGCTCCAGGTGGAAGTGAATCCGCAACCTGATTGGCCTACAGGAGAATCCCGGAATTAGCCAATCACGTGGGGCCCATTGTGTAAATAATGTATATAAAGCATACATTCTGGAGGAACTTTCATTCCTCCTCACCACTATGAGCTGAATAAAGAGCATGAAATCCACTCTCGACTCCGAGTATATTTCAGTCCCATTCAGGTGGAGGAGTTCAACCAAGTATTCATTTTACCTGGAATCACTCTTTTTCCTGAAATCACTTTTCTTTCCTTTTCTCCTTCCCCTCAGTCATTATACCTGTTTAGACGGGAGAATGTCTACCTGTGTGGCCTTGGCAAGATTTTTCCTGAATCAGCCACCGTCTCTAAGGGATACGATGACAATCATTTTTGTTGTGGCTGCTGCTTCTGGCCTTAAAACTGTTGGCTTAATAAACGCTCTTTGCAAATATGCAAAATATGCAAACAAAAAATAATGAATAAGACAAGAGCTTGAGCCTGACAAAAAGGAAGTCCTTTCCTCTCCACACACTTTGTGCACTTATCATTTGGAACTCATTGCTACCAGATGTGGTGGTGGCCGCAGGATTAGGCCCAGTTTAAAACTAAGACATGTGGGGGTATAGCCAAAGCACACAATGGAACTTTCTGCCTCTCCTCTCCTAAACCTCCCTAAATCTGTTTTAGGGTGTTCCCCAAGCCTCAGGAGCAGATCTGGGGAGACTGTGGGTCAAATTTCTCTAATATTTCACGTTTTTATTTTTATTTCCAACCTTTCCAGTAAATAAGGTAAAAGACCCCTGGATGGTTAAGTCCAGTCAAAGGCGACTATGGCGTTGCGGTGCTCATCTCACTTTTCAGGCCAAGGAAGCCGGCGTTTGTCTACAGACAGCTTTCAGGGTCATGTGGCCAGCAGGACTAAAACGCTTCTGGTGCATGGAGGACCACGACAAGTGCCAGAGCACATGGAAATATTGCTTAGCGTGGTGGCTAGGAGATTGAGCAACAAATCAAAATTAAATTTTACTTCTGCCATGAGCTCACTGGGTTGCCCAAGCAAGGCCCCTCTCCCCCTCTCCAACCTGGAGATAATTTCACTGACCTACCTTGCAGGGTTGCTGGAGGGATTAAAACAAGACAACCAAAGCAACGGCCTAGAACCCTTGTACCTACGGGACCGCCTCTCCTGGTATGTCCCTACGGAGGACCTTAAGGTCCACAAATGACAACACTTTGGAGGTTCCAAATCGCAAGGTGGTTAGATTGGACTCAACTAGGGCCAGGGCCTCTTCAGTGCTGGCCCCGACTTGGTGGAACGCTCTGTCACAAGAGACTAGGGCCCTGCGGGACTTGACATCTTTCCACCAGGCCTGCAAGACAGAGCTGTTTGCCTGGCTTTTGGTTTGGACTCAGTCTGACCCTTATGTTTCCCTCCCCTTATGGTTTTGATTTATGGGCTACTACTAAAATGAGACTGCATTTTAAATTGTATTTTAACCCGTATTTTAATAAACTGGTTTTGTTTTTGTTTGCTTGATTGTTTCCCCTGTTATGTTTTATTGTAATTTTATTGGTGTTAGCCGCCCTGAGCCTGGCTCTGGCCGGGGAGGGCAGGGTATAAATAATTTTATTTATTATTATTATTATTATTATTATTATTATTATTATTATTATTATTTTGGTAGAACGATAGATTCCTAACCTCATGGGAAGTGTGCAATTCAACCTCTAAGCTGCCTGGTTCACTGGGCGTCTACCTCCTCCCAACCCAACATGCACTTTAATGTAGCCCTGATCCCCTGGAGAACTTTGATTTACATGGAATGATTCTCGCCCCATGTGTACAAAATAATTCAGAACCCAGCTCATTTGTTCCCCTTCTTGCTTATTTGCCAGTGCGATTAGGCTGCTTGTTTATAACAATAACACAAAAGGGAGGGGGGAGGAGAAGCCTGCCAGATATTTCTTCCTTTCCTGCCACATAGTGTTTTCTGCCTTTGCAGTGCATTGGCAGAGCCACCGTGTATGTGGAGCTCTACAGGAATGCAGAAAAGCCATCTGTGGGAGAAAATTACTAATCACTAGCAATTGCTAATCATTCTCTCGCACTAAGCAAATCCCGCGGGGAGGATTTCTCTTACACACAGGGACTTGCAGCACCCCTGGCAGATGCTAATGCCACAGAAAGCACACAAGCAGCCTCATATGCACTTGGCTGGTGCCCCCCACCCCCCTTTAAGGTTATATGATCAAGGTGCGTGGGCAGAACAAACATGCAAGAGATTAGAAATTTTCTGGCATCCTTTCAAGCAGAAAAGGGAAGGGGTCTCCACAGCAATATTTATTAATTAGAATTTACATCTCACCTATTAGTTATTGAAGCTGCTTACAATATACTTGCAATGAAACAGATAAGAGTTACTGGGAAGGAGGGATGTAAGAAGGCATCGTTTTCCATCCCGCCATCTACTAGTTGCATACGGCGTTGTTTCTATTCCACTGCATCTCTCCTTCCACCAAAAATTACATTATTTGCCTCACTGGCTGCTGTAGAGAAATTATGTCAGTAAGTTACATGGTTGTTATGTTATTCTGAGCCATTTGTTTCAAGGCATAGGAAACACAATGCAAATCCAGGGGAAGTGTATCATTTATAGACCGAAAGCAACAACTGCAAATGCTAATTCACTGAACTGAGCTCTGTTGCAAACTTGAGATGAATTAGCAAACTTGCTAAAGGGCAGGAAACTACAAGAAGGAAGCAGCTGGATGAAATGGCTCATGGTTTCAGCTGTCTCTATACTAATGCACAGAGTATGGGAAACAAGCAAAACGAATTGGAGCTTTTAATACAGAATGGCAAATATGACCTATTAGGCATTACTGATACCTGGTGGGTTGAGAAGAAGAACAAGCAAATAGTAGGTCCTCTATGTGGAGAAGATGGAGAAATGCTATTGGGTGCAGAGGGAAGGTGGAATAGCTCAACACCTACTTTGTCACTGTCTTCACCCAAAGGAATGCATTGCCCAACCTGGGGATAACAGAGTAAACAATACAAGGAGGGAGCTGCAACCCCAAAAAAGATGGTAAGGGAACACCTAGCTACTTTAAATGAATTCAGATCTTCAGGGCCTGATTAGCTGCACCAAAGGATACTAAAGGAGCTTGCAGGTGTGATCTCAGAGCCTCTGTCTATAATCTTTGAGAATTCTTGAAGAACAGGTGAGGTCCCTGCAGACTGGAGGAGGGCAAATGTTGCCTCCATCTTCAAAGGTGGAGGGGAGATCCAGGTGCCAGGGACTCTGACTAACATTGGCTATGTCAAGAGTTGATGGTGGGGGGGTGCATTCATATAAGATGAAGTTTCAGGAGGATGCCAGCATTATCAGTAGGGGTAGTACCTCCAGTTGAAATGTCTTGGGGGCACATTACTCTCATTAGAGAGAGCCAGAGTGTTGTAGTGCTTATAATGTCAAACGTTAACCTGGGAGACTTGGGTTCAAATCTTAAACCCAGTCATGAGACACACAGCATTGGTGGCAGAGCTTAGAGTATTCCATCTTTGAGTTTGTGGAGGGCTTATCTGAATCCTGCCATGATTACAGCCATAAATTATTGTTGTTGTTGTTGTTCAATTTATAACCCATCCTTCCTCACAAGGGTGTCCAAGGGTAGCACTCTTCACTTTTCAAAGTCAAGATATCGTAGTTCCTCAAGGCTTCTCTATAGTTCCCTAGCGAAAGGTGCAGATGTCAGAGCCATTAATTTAATGTTCTTTGAAGCTGAATTATATGTCACAGGAACGTGTCAGAGTTGGAGGCTAAAATCCAAAATGTTAAAAAAAAAAAGGTCCAAGGGAGTTTTGAGGTACTTGCATATAGCTAGAGAAGAAGAAATGAAGTCTGGATTTTATTTTATTTTTAAACGGCGGTCCAGAAGCAGAAGGGGCAACTGCAAATGGGTGTGCTGTGGCTTTGGTTCGTGATGCTATTTTTATTGTGAAACTCGCATCCCGAAGCACATATTTTTTTCTTTCCAATCTTAGTAACTCTGAGATCTGTTTTCGTAAAGTAGAATTGGAGAGCCCCTTCCTTGCCTGTAATGTTCGGCAAATCATTGCTCAATTTGGGATTTTCCTGTTGCCATGGCATCGAATGCTGTGTGGCAAATCAAGTTGTCAAAGTGAGTGACAGTTCTGATGGGACCCTCTTCTGTCTTCCAGCCTGGAGCCACAGGCCTAACCAGACCTACTGGGCTGGTACCCTTTCGCCGTGTGAATTAACGTGCATGGAGAGAAGCCAAGACCACTTCACCGGAGCGAACGTTTAAAAATAGCTTCTCTTATTAAGCTAATTACACTATGCGCAAGCATGACAAAAACTATTTCCTCAGCTAAATTTACCCTTTCTTCAGTTGCTCAAGCTGAATAGCAGGGTTTTGAAATCTGCGTGAGAAAGGGTGAGCTTTACATGTTGTTTGTCCCCCCCCCCCCGCCCCGTGTGTGTTTTTCGCAGGTTTTCAAAACTATGAGGTCAGAAAAACCTGCTAGTCTTCCATCGTTAATGGTTGTGCAAGTGCGCCCCCAAGTGGCGAAAGAAAGGTGCAACCATCCTTTTTAACACCTTTATCATTTTCAGTGCCTGTAATTCAGAGTTTCGCCATGTGAGAATACAGTCATCCCACTAATAATAATAATAATAATAATAATAATAATAATAATAATTTATTATTTATACCCCGCCCATCTGGCTGGGTCCCCCCAGCCACTCTGGATGGCTTCCAACAAAACACTAAAATACAATAACCTATTAAACATTAAAAGCTTCCCTAAACAGGGCTGCAGGGACATGGGTGGCGCTGTGGGTTAAACCACAGAGACTAGGACTTGCTGATCAGAAGGTCAGCAATTCGAATACCCGCAACGGGGTGAGCTCCCGTTGCTTGGCCCCTGCTCCTGCCAACCTAGCAGTTCGAAAGCACGTCAAAGATCAAGTAGATAAATAGGTACTGCTCCGGCAGGAAGGTAAACAGCATATCCGTGCGCTGCTCTGGTTCGCCAGTCATGCTGGCCACATGACCCGGAAGCTGTACACTGGCTCCCTCGGCCAATAAAGCGAGATGAGCGCCGCAACCCCAGAGTCGGTCACGACTGGACCTAATGGTTAGGGGTGCCTTTACCTTTACCTTTACCTTTAAACAGGGCTGCCTTTAAATGTCTTCTAAAAGTTTGGTAGTTATTTTTCTCTTTGACATCTGGTGGGAGGGCATTCCACAGGGTGGGCACCACTACCGAGAAGGCCCTCTGCCTGGTTCCCTGTAACTTGGCTTCTCGCAATGAGGGAACTGCCAGAAGGCCCTCAGCACTGGACCTCAGTGTCCGGGCACAACAATGGAGGTGGAGACGCTCCTTCAGGTATACTGGATCGAGGCCGTTTAGAGCTTTAAAGGTCAGCACCAACACTTTGAATTGTGCTCGGAAACGTACTGGGAGCCAGTGTAGGTCTTTCAAGACCAGTGTTATATGGTCTCGGTGGCCGCTCCCAGTCACCAATCTAGCTGCCGCATTCTGGATTAATTGTAGTTTCTGGGTTACCTTCAAAGGTAGCCCCACATAGAGCGCATTGCAGTAGTCCAAGCGAGAGATAACCAGAGCATGCACCACTCTGGCGAGGCAGTTCGCAGGCAGATAGGGTCTCAGCCTGTGTACCAGATGGAGCTGGTACACAGCTGCCCTGGACAACAGAATTGACCTGTACCTCCATGGACAGCTGTGAGTCCAGAATGACTCCCAGGCTGTGCACCTTAGGCCGAATGTTCTTTGAGAACGTCCTGCCCAGAGTAAAACTATACGCCCCTTTTCACACTTTCCTTGACAATGTTACCTGCTTCGTTGAGCCTAGTGATGGTGGTCCACTGGTAGCCGAAAGCTTCCTTCCTACAGAAGCTCCCCCTGTATGGTGCTGCGTCAGGACACAATAACACTTGGAAGAGGCTTTGAGTGTTCTAGCTGTAGGTTGCAACAACTGCGAACCACTATTGTTATTGCTTTCCACGACATCCAGCTCGGCTGCATCCCCTTCCAACTGTCAGTCAGCCAATCTGGCCCTGAACTACATTGTCTTCTAACCTGCCTGGACCACCTCCACCTAGGGAAAGGCATTCCTCTTTCTTCCAGTCTTATTTCCGGTTTCCCACATTTACACATCCATTTGTAGTTTTTATGCACCCTTTAGCCTAATATATGCATTTTTGCAAACATTACTTGTCTGGAGAACTGCTTTGCAAAATTTGGAGAAGCAATTACCATATTTTTTGCTCTATAAGACTCACTTTTTCCCTCCTAAAAAGTAAGGGGGAATGTGTGTGCGTCTTATGGAGCAAATGCAGGCTGCGCAGCTATCCCAGAAGCCAGAACAGCAAGAGGGATTGCTGCTTTCACTGCGCAGCGATCCCTCTTGCTGTTCTGGCTTCTGAGATTCAGAATATTTTTGTTCTTGTTTTCCTCCTCTGAAAACTCTTGTGGTCTGGTGCGTCTTATAGAGCGAAAAATACAGTATTTCAAACACTGGCCGTGTTTCATTTAATTGTATTTTCCAGGAAGTGCAAATTAGATAGGTTCGCCTTTAAATGAATCAAATTCCTCCCGCATCCCTAACTCCAGCCTTTAAATCTTGCTCCCATCTTAATTTATGTCATCTTCCTTCTCCCACTTACCCGTATTTTTCGCTCTATAAGACGCACCAGATCACAAGACGCACCTAATTTTTTGCTGCTACGCAGTGAAAGCAGCAATCCCTCTTGCTGTTCTGGCTTCTGGGATAGCTGCGCAGTCTGCATTCGCTCCATAAGACGCACACACATTTCCCCTTACTTTTTAGGAGTGAAAAAGTGAGTCTTATAGAGCAAAAAATACGGTATCTCCAGCACCACCTCCAGCACCATCAGTTTCCCCAGCTGATGCAACTAACCTACTAACCAACCATCTAACCATCCTCTGCTTCTCTCTCTATTTCCAGTCTTTGCTCCCTTGGTCTTGCCTAAAGTAAAGGTAAAGGTACCCCTGCCCGTACGGGCCAGTCTTGACAGACTCTAGGGATGTGCGCCCATCTCACTCAAGAGGCCGGGGGCCAGCGCTGTCCGGAGACACTTCCGGGTCATGTGGCCAGCGTGACATCGCTGCTCTGGCGAGCCAGAGCCGCACACGGAAACGCCGTTTACCTTCCCGCTAGTAAGCGGTCCCTATTTATCTACTTGCACCCGGGAGTGCTTTCGAACTGCTAGGTTGGCAGGCGCTGGGACCGAACAACGGGAGCGCACCCCGCTGCGGGGATTCGAACCGCCGACCTTTCGTTCGGCAAGCCCTAGGCGCTGAGGCTTTTACCCACAGCGCCACCTGCGTCCCTGGTCTTGCCTAGTACTCCATTAATTTCATTCCGCTCTTCCTTTGTCCTAATCTTCCTAAGGCATCCGATTGCCCAAAGCAAATCACCTTTCTTTGCAGTCGCAAGGAATTTTGTGACCTAGCAAAATGGCCGTACTTGGCAAACAGGTTTGGCCCGCAGCAGAAAGGGAGGGACGTTGAGGGGAAGGGCAAGCAAGAATGAAGGCTCTCAGCAGCTAAATTTCTGACACGCTGTCCAAGGTTATTTATTTAAGGTATTAGGCGTGACATTCTTCAATCTAAGCGCTGTTCCACATCACGAGATTAGGAGGGATCCTGATAATCCACAAAAAAAAATGTCTAAAGGCTTCTGAGAAGTGTCCATCATAAAAGCAGGAATCAAGTGACAGGGAGGATGCTATGGGAATGAGAACCTAAGTGTCCTGCTGGGTCAGGCCAAAGGCCCGTCAAATCCAGCATATCTGTTCTCACAGTAACCAACCAGATGTCCATAGGGTGCCTGCAAGTTGGACCTGGGTCCAACAGCCCTCTTCCCACTTGCAATTCCCCGCAAGTGCTATTCAGAGGCAAACTGCCTTCTTCCTGATGCAAAAAGTGAGTTTGCTATGCTAGACCCACAACTGTTCTTCTCTCACCATCATCGGTAGTCAGAAGATGACAGACCAGTATCAAGTGTGTGCTGATACTTAAGTCTGGCTCTTGTGGGGATAGTATTTGTATTCTTTGGGATATTTCCTGTTGTTGTTGTTGTTGTTTAGTCGTTTAGTCGTGTCCAACTCTTCGTGACCCCATGGACCAGAGCACGCCAGGCACCTCTGTCCTCCACTACCTCCCGCAGTTTGGTCAAACTCATGCTGGTAACCTCGAAAACACTATCCAACCATCTTGTCCTCTGTCGCCCCCTTCTCCTTGTGCCCTCCATCTTTCCCAGCATCAGTGTCTTCTCCAGGGAGTCTTCTCTTCTCATGAGGTGGCCAAAGTACTGGAGCCTCAGCTTCACGATCTGTCCTTCCAGTGAGCACTCAGGGCTGATTTCCTTAAGAATGGATGCGTTTGATCTTCTTGCAGTCCATGGGACTCTCAAGAGTCTTCTCCAGCACCATAATTCAAAAGCATCAATTCTTCGGCGATCAGCCTTCTTCATGGTGCAGCTCTCACTTCCATACATCACTACTGGGAAAACCATAGCTTTAACTATACGGACCTTTGTTGGCAAGGTGATGTCTCTGCTTCTCATGGGAGATTTCCTAGGCCCTGCAGACTCTGCATTGACTCATGAGCACCCATTTCCTGTTGCCTGCTGCTCCCAGTTCATTACTCAACGCATTGGCAAGCATCCGTGGGGCAGAATGTTGAAACTATTCCAGTTCTGCTCTTAACATTTGACTTGGATGGATCCTTAAAAAAAGAAGCAGCAGCAAGCAGCACTCTAAATCTTGTCCTCTTGATGAATTCGAAGGCAATAATATTAGGTATTAAAAACTGGAGTTGAAATTGACATTCTATTAAGTGAATATTGTTTGTTTGTTACAATAACTATTGAGTCAGATGAATTAAATGGAGTTAGATGAATTAAACTTCGCCTCTAGGCTTTTCTTTTTTAAAAAATATTTTTTATTAAATTTCATATTTCCAAATTAAACACATCAAATCAATTAGTCCAAATTATAAAAATACATATCATATAATCCAATTGTTTTCTAAATTATAAATTTTTGTGGGGGGTACCCATGCTTCTTTTCAGCCTTTCCCATGAGGACTGGAAACCTTCTCAACATACGGAAGAGCTAAGTAAACTTTAACAAGTAAAGGTAAAGGTACCCCTGCCCGTACGGGCCAGTCTTGACAGACTCTAGGGTTGTGCGCTCATCTCACTCTAGAGGCCGGGAGCCAGCGCTGTCCGCAGACACTTCCAGGTCACGTGGCCAGCGTAACGAAGCTGCTCCGGCGAACCGGCACCAGAGCAGCACACGGAAACGCCGTTTACCTTCTCGCTATAAAGCGGTAACTATTTATCTACTTGCACTTAAGGGTGCTTTCGAACTGCTAGGTGGGCAGGAGCTGGGACCGAACGACGGGAGCTCACCCTGCCGCGGGGATTCGAACCGCTGACCATGCGATCGGCAAGTCCTAGGTGCTGAGGTTTTTCCCACAGCGCCACCCGCATCCCTAAACTTTAACAAACATCCTCCTTAATAGATTATTCTGGTCTGACCCTGCATTGTTCAATGATATCAGCTGTTTTTCTTCTTTCAGTCCTGCTATTTTGCTTTTCCTGTTATTGTGATTGTAGTAATTAATAGGTTTTGTCTTTAAAGGCATTGATATCAAGTATGTACTGCTGTTTTTAAATGGGTTTTTTTTTTTTTGCATTTTTATATTGCTTTTAACTGTTTTATATATGTTGTTCTACTGTAAAACGCTTTTGGGTGCAGTATTTATTATTACGTTCATGTCCCACTTTCCACCCAAGAAGCTCAAGGTGTTGGACTCCTTGCCTCTCCACATTACTGCCACAACATTCCTGGGAGGTAGGATGGCCTCAGAGTTGGTGACCGGCCCAAGGTCACCCAGTGAGTTTCATGGCCAAGTGGGGATTTGAACCTGGTCTCCCAGGTCCTAGTTTGATATGCTCACCCTGTGTTTCTCAAACGTGGGTCTGCAGCTGTTGGACTACAACTCCCATCATCCCTAGCTGGGGTGGTCAAGGATGATGGGAGTTGTAGTCCAACAACAGCTGCAGACCCACGTTTGAGAAACACTGCTCTAACCACTATCCCACAGTGTCAGCGTGCCAGTGAATATCAGTTGTTAGAAAGGATCACAGCATAAGGAACAACTGCACATTCACAGCCCAGAGGCATCAGATTGGGAGAAGCAAGAATGCAGAATTCTAGACGGACCTTTGGACTGATCACCAGAATTCTTTTTCAGTAAGTTAACTCTGCAAAAAAAAACCTCTGCAAACTATGTCTCAGCTTGCACAAAAGGGTCTGGCTCATAATGTTTTTGTGCGTTTCAAAGTTGCTTAATACTGCTCAGTGTGAAAGACCGAACCGGTAGGGAGTATGGCCCCACCTGGGTGGCAGACAAGGAGGGCGTGGTGGGTCTGTATTGCCCTAGATGGAGCTGGGTGAATGAGCTGGCTGCAAATTATGCTCAAAACTGCCAGGTATCTTTTTGTAGTCCAGACGTTAGCCTTGTAACAAGCGGTTGGCTGGGGATTATCTGTGTGGCTGGTGGGAATGCTAAAGAGAGAATTTTGTATGGGGAAGATTGCTAGGAATGTATCTGGGAGAGGTTACTATGGGGGGAAGTGGGGGTGCAGCTTCTATCTCAGCTAATGATGCTGTTTTGTGAAGTTTTGCTATATTTTTGCATTTGATTTTTCTCTGCGATGTCTTCATGTTCAAGAGAATATTCTATTTTCCAAATGTGTGTGTGATTTGCATTTGACCTTTTGTCATCATTTTGCTATTTTGTCGTGTTCTGTTTTATTCTCTAAGTTCAGTTGCGAGCTGCTTTGAAACTTAGTTATCTTTTAATTGGGCATTTACATTATTTTAATTAACTAATTAATTAATTAGTTGGTCCTGTTGGAGACAGGGTGTGTGTGTGTCAATCTTGGCTGCTAAATTGAGTCTCCAAACGCCCTAATTGCCAGCCCTACAAAAGAAATAACAGTACACAAGATTATCATTTCATATCTTTAAAATGTGTATATCATCTCGAGTGCCTTAGGACTGAGAGTGAAACTGAAAGATGTTATAAACAAGTAAACTGTAAAAAAAAAAAAGGTCTCCTTTGTACACAACTGTGTCATGAATTCCTATTTCTGTGCATCTGAGATGCACAATCAACCTGGAAATATCAAATTACTTTAGACAGTCTGAAGGGGGCAGTGGAGTGAGGGGCAGCTCTTAAGTCAGTTGCCAAAAGTTTTTATTAGTTTAACCACACCCTGCTGCCAGGTGGCCACTTAAGCATCCCCAAAAAAGAGGACAAAGAAGGATACAGGTTTGTGTGAAATTTGCCTGTGCTAATTTCTGTATGAACATGGGCACATTTATTAGTAATGACAACTATTTAAACAAAAGGACAATATATCTCACCATAGCAGGGAAGGCTGTGGTCAGGTGTGTGTCTGCTCCATCTGCTACCCAGGTGCCAACTCTTTGATGGGCAACCGGAAGACCCCTGCTGATCTCGCTTCTTATGGTTCTCACTCTTTAAACTTGACTTGGACCAGACACCGCTTCTCATAAGGGGACTCCTGCAAAGAAAGGGCTGTCCTTTGACGGCATTTCAAATAGAATGTGCAGCTCTGTGAAGGAAAACATGCAAATATCCAGCCCTGAAGGCGTATATCCAGCAATGTTAGTGGGACGCGGGTGGCACTGTGGTAAAAACCACTGAGCCTAGGGCTTGCTGATCAGAAGGTCGGCAGGTCGAATTCCCGCAACGGGGTGAGCTCCCTGCTCCTGCCAACCTAGCAGTTCAAAAGCACGTCAAAGTGCAAGTAGATAAATAGGTACTGCTCTGGCGGGAAGGTCAACGGCACTTCTGTGCGCTGCTCTGGTTCGCCAGAAGCGGCTTAGTCATGCTGGCCACATGACCTGGAAGCTGTCTGCGGACAAACGCTTGCTCCCTCGGCCAGTAAAGCGAGATGAGCGCTGCAACCCCAGAGTCGTCCGTGACTGGACTTAACAGTCAGGGGTCCTTTATCTTTACCCAGCAATGTTATAAATAAAAATACACATGCAAACACACAATTTTCACAAATATGCATTTGTATTGCATATACACACGTGCAGAGAGAGAGAGAGAGAGAGAGAGCATCACTGAATAGCACTTCAGTTTGTAACAAATTGGCAACACCAAACCCTACTATAACTATTAGGGCAATTTAGGGCCAGGCTGGCCTGACATCTGCACTCAGCAGCCTCAGGAAGCTATCAGGATCCCAGCATGCTCTCAGAGACCAGCAGAGATACCTGCAATTACCTGCCCAACACCCAATCCACAAAATGGTTGTTGCTGTTGTTTTTGCCTAGCCACCATTTCTTAGGATGCCCATAATATGGAGTTGCACTGAGGCATTGTGGGAAATTTAAATGGCAGTTTCCACTAGGGGCTGCCCAACACTAATCAGATCGCAAGATCTCACCCCCCAAAAAAACAACACACACACACGAGAGCACAGCGCCCAAAATGGCTGCCATGCTCTCACGGGTATGACATGGCGCACATTTCCAAGGAGCGGTTGTGTGAAGCGGGCTCTCCATTCCTCTCAGGCTGCTTCCCTCTGCTCCGTCAGGCCTTGAGAGTAGGCTGAGGGGAAGCCCTTGTTGCAGCCATTATCTCTGCAAAGGAGGCCGCACGGCAGATAACTAGAAGCCCTGGCGGCTGCCGGCTGCCGCTATTAAACCGCGGCCTTTTCATGAGCCGTGAGCTGAATTCCTCCTCACCCAAACCAAATAAAAAAAAAATAAAAAGAGAACCTTTTATTCATTTCATCATTATCAAGGGCTGCCACATTCAAATGATTCCTCTGGCAGTCCCTTCATTTCCAGAGGACGTGCCTCAAGAAGGGATTTGGAAGCCTTTTGATTAAGAATAAGAGGTGAATGACACTCGCAACCCGAGCACGGCTGCTATCATTACAATGTACTCTCACTTCCACAGAGCCACCCTGCGCTCGCTCTGTCTCTAGGCTGCCTTTCATATAAAGCCACTGTACGGTGTGGCCTAATTGAAGAGAAATATCTTACAAAAACACACACTCACTAAATTCCCCACAGATTTCGACGAAGGGTGGGTGGGGCGTTTTTTATTTATAGACGCGCCTTGCCTCAAGCTGTGTGCATGTAACAGAGTTAACACACAAACGTGTGTTTTCTGGACTACGTTGTTTATCTGAGGCCTGCTTTCCATACACGAGAAAACGAAGTCTTTTGCATTTATTTCCTGTCTTGAACTGAAATGAATGATCTTCCTTCCAGTTGCGACCCCATGGTTTTCTACATTTTCTGTTTCTAATCCTGGATTATTAGGACCACCGTCTCTTCTTTAAGCCATCATAAATTCACATAAGAAGCCTGAGTCAAAACCATTTGCTCCATTTCAGCGACATGTTAGTCCCTAGTTTCATCATGGCGATATATGTGACGACAACAGATGAAGAAGCTGGAAGTAGCAATGGACTGAGGCCTCCTTGCTGCTAAACAATGGTGGTGGGGTCTTCTTTCCCTGTGTTCATAAGGTGCTTCCATTACAGGTTTCTAGGTCCGTCTTTTTTCAGGCAGTATCTTCCTGTGGAACCACGTTGTTCCTTAGAAGTTTATTGGGAGAGGGGGTGTCCTCACTGAAAAGATGGGTGAAACAAGCTTCCCTGAATGAGAGCTCGTCCATCACCACCAATCTTCCTCTGCAATGTGCAGCAATACCAGCTTGTGGGATATCTTCCAAGTCATGCCCTCAATAGGCATGGCTGATGCCTGGCCCTTGAATGTGTCCAATAATCATCTGCAACACACTCAAGTCATCGTGGAAAGTATTTCCCGAGGATGGAAAATGCATTACACATTGTTGTACGCCACCCCAATATTCAAGTGGTGCAAGATTCCAGGTGTTCACCCAGGGTTCGTGTTTGCTTTAGAATATTATTATTATCATTATTATCATTATTATCATTATTATCATTATTATCATTATTATCATTATTATCATTATTATTTATTTGTACCCTGCTCTGGGCGGCTTCCAACAAAGATTAAAAATACATTAAAATGTCACACATTAAAAACTTCCCTTAACAAGGCTGCCTTCAGATGTCTTCTAAATGTCAGGTAGCTGTTTATCTCTTTGACATCTAGTGGGAGGGCGTTCAGCAGGGCGGGCGCCACTACCGAGAAGGCCATCTGCCTGGTTCCCTGTAACTTGGCTTCTCACAGTGAGGGAACCGCCAGAAGGCCCTTAGAGCTGGACCTCAGCGTCCGGGCAGAACGATGGGGTGGAGACATTCCTTCAGGTATACTGGGCCGAGGCCATTTAGGGCTTTAAAGGTCAGCACCAACACTTTGAATTGGGCTCGGAAACGTACTGGGAGCCAATGTAGGTCTTTCAAGACCGGTGTCGGTGGCTGCTCCCAGTCACCAGTCTAGCTGCTTCATTCTGGATTAGTTGTAGTTTCTGGGTCACCTTCAAAGGTAGCCCCACATAGAGCCCATTGCAGTAGTCCAAGCGGGAGATAACCAGAGCATGCAACACTCTGGTGAGACAGTCTGTAGGCAGGTAGAGTCTCAGCCTGCATACCAGATGGAGCTGGTAAACAGCTGCCCTGGACACAGAATTGACCTGCGCCTCCATGGACAGCTGCGAGTCCAAAATGACTCCCAGGCTGCGCACCTGGTCCTTCAGGGGCACAGTTACCCCATTCAGGACCAGGGAGTCCTCCACACCCGCCCTCCTCCTGTCCCCCCAAAACAGTACTTCTGTCTTGTCGGGATTCAGCCTGTGTTTACTTACACAAATATACAATCTGAACTTTACAATGAAGGGATTCACAGCATAAACACCCCAAGAGGGTCTTGCTTCCCCCATAGCTATGGCTTTGGATTCTGCAGTCACAGCAGGCAGCGTGATCTCCAGCGGTTTGACTTCACCCCCGGAGGGGCACTCCATTGCCTCTTGAGACAGATGGATGCCAACATGCTGGCTCTCAAAATCTAAAAACCACTGTTCTAAGAACAGGCAATAGCTTTGCAGGGCTCTCACCCAGAAGCATGGCCAGGAGAGCTGCAACAGATGTGTGAGAGTTTGTTTTGGTGAGGCAGTCATTTCCTTGTTTGTTTTAAGTACATACCCTTTATTTCAAGAAATTTTCATTTATATAACAATTACTTAGAACAATACAGTGCCCCATAAAGAACAAAAGGGATATTCATGTGTAATAGGTAATTAAACAACCAAAAACAAACAGAACAGAACAAAGGGGATGTGGATGATAAAGAGCTAGAACTAGACACACATCAAGTGATTATATATAGATGCAACTGTTTTGGATGTTCTGTTATATTAAGCATTCCTATGCCATCCTATAAGCAAATTATCAGGCCAGCTTACAACTATAAAAACCAACTGAAATACAGTCATAGGCACTTTAGATAGCTCCCATGATGCGTTTCATAGAGTTTCATACAGCCCAATTGCCTGGAGCATCTTTCCAATCTTGGTCCAGGTGAGAGATGAGAGTTATAGTTCCCATTACAGAACTGTAGAGTTGGAAGGGACCCCGAGGATGATCTAGTCCAGCCTGCTGCAATGTAGGAATCTCAACTAAAGTATCTATGGCAGATGGCCACCCAACTCTTCTTAAAAACCTCCCAAGGGAGGTCGTTACACTGTCAAGTAGCTCTCGCCACAAGAAAGTTCTTCCTGATGTTTAGTCAATATCATACCTAACCAAGGCTGAGTAGGGATGGGCCTGAAGCTGGCTGGGATTGATGGATGCTGGAGTCAAACAATACCTGGAAAGCCATCCTCACTTTAGATTTTAGAACAGGGCTGGGGAAACTGTGGCCCTCTAGATGGGCAATGTCCGTCATCCCTGACCACCAGCCATGCTGGCCAGGGTTGGCAGGCATTGGAAGCTTCATAACCTCTGGAGAGTAACAGGTTCTGTATTCCTAGAGCCTTTCTAGACACATGTAGAGCAGGGGACCTCTCTCGAGTGATCTAGGCATCCTTCTAGAAAAGGGGCTCCCAAGGGAACTCTCATTGAGAAAAGAAAGAAGAACAACGGGCTCCTTTGTCATTGAGAAAGGTTGCATTCAGCATGTGTTTGGGGTTGATATGACTTTATTTTATTTGCATGACTAAACCTTTCAGCACGGTACCAATCTCTCTGTTTGCTTTTTTCCATTTTCTGGGGCTGCCTCCATGTTGCCACAGATTGAAAGTTAGCAATGTTATTCCGTCCTAATGGGAATTCCTGCGTCACTCCTAAAGTAAAAACAACGGTGTCTTCTACTTGCATACTTAACCGAATCTAGATATTCAAGGAAAGCCGAACAGCAAAACAAAGGTATTTGGGGGGGAGATGCGTTCTGTTGCACACACTCACTCTCTTTCAGGAAGAAACCCTTTGTCTCCTCTCCCCTTGGCATGGGTCCTGTCATTCAGCCTCCACGTCTACTGCCATCAGCTGACTGTTAATATGAACCCCTCCCTGCAAAAAAAGAGCCAGCTTGTCACATTAAGAAGCCAGACCCCATACCAAATGTGTTTTCTTAAGTGATGCAAAAATGGACAAATGGATAGGAAAGGGAGATAACATTGTGTGTTCTGCCTTCCCTGTTATTTTTTCAAGATAGAACTTGATTGCTGGCTGGGTGGGAACTTGCGAAGGCATTCTTGTCATGATCCAAGCCTCTCTTTGTTTGACAATACGTGCAGACCCTAGCAGGTCACCCCTTTCCTCCAAAAGCGCTTGGACAAATGGCTAGCCATAATTGCTAGCCTGAAAGCAAGAGCATACAAGGTGTTGCATGCCGCTCTTCAGCTTGGGTCACTGGGAATGATGGATGCCAAAAGGATGGCTAGATTAGTTTGTGTTGAAATCCAAGATGCTGCCTGCACAGGTAAATGTCACTCGGTACTCAACAGATGCATTCAGCCAAAATCAACAAGCATTTGGGTTTCAGGACTAGGAACCCACTGGCATTTCCAACTATGAGATCAGCTTTCTCTGAGCACACTTCAGCCGTACAACCGTTCTCCCTCCTCCTTCCTTTCTTCGCAGTGCCCTTGCATTTTTCTCTTAAAACTATAAAGCATCTGTGGAGTGGGGACTGAGATATTATTAGTGCAACTGATTTTTATTTTTTAACACGGTAGTTTAAGTGTGGACGTCATCTGAAACGAGGGTCATTGTAAAAATTATGTAAGGAAAGGCAGACATGCATGAAAAAACATGGATCATTCCTATGAATGCCATTTGGAATGCAAAGCAGGGCTTTTTCAGTGTTGGCACCCATGTATGGAACTCCTGTCCAACTGATGTCTGCTCTATATACTTAAAAGATGGCTCAGTCTAAATATATTCTGGGGTACAAAAATCCAGGTGCTCAGCAATGCCTAGAGCCAAAAAACTGTACCCCTCTGGGTTGCCGAATAATTTTTTTTAAAAAAAGACAAGACATTTGGCTCAGAAAAAAATCTGGCTCCTAGATAGCTAGATAATGAAGGGATGATTGGCCTAATTTTAAAAAGGCATCTTTTGTGCACTGAAGGAGTTGAATTGAACATACAATGCAGAGATGGCTGGACCCCAAATTCAAAGTCCAGGACCCTGCATCTCAGCCCCTCCCCCCCCCATGACCAACCAGACACCGGCAGATTATGGAGGCAGATCCAAACAGAGGCTAATCTGTCACTTTTTGTTTCTCTGGGCCATTTTCCCAATATTAAGTTCAGTTCTCCACATTCCCACACGTTTGCAATTTAAGTCCTCCTGAAAATTCATCAGCAGTCTAATGCAAACTTCTTGTTTGAAAAGCAAGTTCCCTTAATGCAATGCATTTTTGTATTGTATTTTCACTAATATTTTACACTTTAACCTAGTGAATGCATTTCTGTGCACATTACTTGGGCTGGAGGACTCCCTCACAAAATCTGGAAATGTGGAAGGATGGCTGTGTCTTGGTTGAAGTAGTTTTGGAATGCTCAAACTAGGTAGGCAAACTGAATTGAGGCCTGCTTAAACTCTCAGGCTTGGAAAGGCATATCACTATTCATCATTTTAATTGAAACCATGAAATGGAAACCTCCCATTGTAATTTCAGTGCCATCAATACCACAACAAAACAAAAAAATAAAAATAATACAAAGCCCATCTCATGGCTTAAAAAATTGAGCCTGAAAGCATGAATTATTGCAGATGTGGTTATCTCTAGCCATGGTTGAAAAGCCTGAATGAAGGGATTTTTGCCGGCTCTGAAATGGTTGGCACATTTGTAGCAGTTTCGCCCAACCTCGGTCTTAAGGTATTTGTCTGTCAGCGATGGCTGGTTAACCGATAAGCTGACACAGCTCCTCTATGGGTCACTGGTAGAACAGACAGGTTCAGAGGACAGAGGACATTAGCAACAGACCCTCCTGTGTGTCTCCTCGTTTCTTCGTTAAGCTTTAAACTCTGTTGTCTTGAGCAGGCAAGAAATAACTCTCGTTGATTGGCACTTAAAAATAAAAACAAGCTGGTTAGAATTAGCAAGCTGACCCATGCGGAGGAAGGTGAGTCTCTTGTTCTCCTCCTGTGTCTAGGAGAGAGAATAATGTATGAAGGGAGAGAAATATAAGTGTCCTGAGGTCGTCTTTCTTTCCTTCTTCATTTGAGCCTTCAGGGTTTGTGTTTGGGGAAATCCATCTTTGTGGGTTCCAGTGCTGACTGACCTGATCCGCACCTCCAAGATTAACGTGTGGGTTGAAATATAGCCGCCTATCGAACGTTGAGTTTCCAGCTCAAGATAAGTGGCGAATGCTATTTCGAGAGAAAATGGGAGCTATCCAACAGTCATAGAGCAGACCCATTGAAACCAATGGACTTAAGTGACTTAAATCCAAGACTTCTAATGGGTCTCTAAT